GGGAATTGGAAGCGGGAACGGGGAGGGGAGGTATTCAACTTGACTTCCCAGAGTGGTTGCTCCCCCCGTGCTTTGTTCCCTTTGTCATCTGACCCGCCGTCCCCCCGTCTCCGTCCTCCGCCCATTCGCGCCGCGGCGCCCCATCGCCGCTTGTCGCGCGTCTCACTCACGAATTTACCTGCTTCTTACCGCCCAACACCGGACTCTTCTTATCAGTTTCTCCATCTGAACCGTCCCGTCCCATCCCATCCCATCCCATCCCATCCCATCCCATCCCGTCCCATCCCGCCCCATCCCATCCCATCCCATCCCATCCCATCCCATCCCATCCCATCCCATCCCATCCCATCCCATCCCATCCCATCCCATGCACCCCATTGTCCCCCGTTCCTACCCCATCCCCCCGTCACCCCCCCCTCCGCGCCACAGGCATAGAGGCGGATTCCACGCTGCACCTCGTCAGGGGCGGCGGGGGAGCAGCGGCGGCGGCGTCCCCCTCATCCGCGGCGCAGCCAGCCGCCGCGCAACAAGGCACATCCGCCGCGCCCTCCACGAGTCCCGCTGCAGCAGCAGGCGCTCCCGCCGCCGGAGGCGCGCAGCGCGTCTCCCCGGACCTGCTGGCCGCCGCTCTGGGCGGAGGCGGGGCTGCGGACCCCCTAGGCCTGGGCGGACTGGGCGGAATGGGCGGCCTCGGCGGTCTAGGCGGTCTCGGCGGGCTAGGCGGGTTAGGCGGGCTGGGGGGACTCGGGCTGGACAACGGCGCGGGCGCAGGCCTGCCCGGGCTGGAGCAGTTCCAACAGCAGATGCTGCAGAACCCCGAGATGATCCGCGACATGATGAACCTGCCCGCTGTGCGCGCGCTGATGGACAACCCCGAGGTGATGCGCTCGCTGCTCGCCGCCAACCCGCAGATGCAGCAGCTCATGGAGCGCAACCCCGAGCTGGCGCACGTGCTGAATGACCCGGCTGTGCTGCGCCAGACCATGGAGGCGGCGAGGAACCCCGAGCTCATGCGTGAGATGATGCGCACGACCGACCGCGCCATGAGCAACATTGAGGCGATGCCGGGCGGGTTCAACATGCTGCGGAACATGTACCATAACGTGCAGGAGCCGCTCATGGATGCTGCCACTGGTGGCGGGGGTGGAGGGGGCGGTGCGGGGAGGGGGGCGACGGGGACGGGGGGGACTGGGGAGACGAGGGCAGGAGGGGCGGAGGGGGCTGGTGGGCCGGCGAACACGGCTCCGCTGCCAAACCCGTGGGGTGGTGGAGGTGAGCCTGGGACCCGTGTGTTGCTGTTCTGTGTGCTGTATCGTGCTTTGCTCTTGTTGTTCTGTTCGCTGGTGTTGCCCTGTTGCTGTGTGGTTGCACAATCCTGTCTGTTTGGCAGCTCCCATCCATCACGCCACATCTCATCCTCTTGCCCCTCGTTGTTCACACCTCACCCATGTTGCCTCTTGCAATCTATTATCGCATGTGCAATCCTGTTCACAACCTTTCACCTGCCCGGCCTCACTCATCGCACCCATATGCCACATCCTCTTGCCGTGTATGCATTCCTGACCGCATTCTGTCCACCCCCTTCTTGGCCGTACAGTTTCATACTCTTGTACCTCTCTTTCCCACCCACCTCTATTGACTTCCTTATCCCCCTTTTATTGACTCATATTCCCCATTTATTGTCTTCCTTACCCCCGCTTATTGACTTTCTTATCCCCCTTCATTGATGTAGCCTCTTTCTTGACTTACTTGCCCCTCAAACCTCAACTGACTTCCTATCCCTGTCAACTGACTTCCTATCCCTGTCAATTGACTTCACTAGCCCCCCCCTCCCACCTCCATTCACCTCCCTAACCATTTCTCCCACACCAATTTTCTTTCTACAACTCCCATCATCATCCCATCACCCCACCACCACCAGCAGCAGCAGGCACTCAGCGCGCCGCGCCTGCTGGCCTGGGCGGGGGGCTACCAGGGCTGAACACGGTGAACCTGCCCTTCCCGCCCATCGCCCTCGCTGACCTCTCCTCCGACCCGCCCGCCGTGCTGCGCTCGCTGCTCCTGCTGCACCTGCTGCTGCGCCTGCCGGGGGTGCCCCAGCAGCTGGAGGAGCGCCTGGCCGACCCCGCGTTTGTGCAGGAGACCGTGCGGGCGAGCGCCCTGCTGCAGGGGCAGGTGGACGGCAACGAGGCACTGCGGTCGCTGCTGGGGGATGCGGCTGCGCTGCGGGGGATGCTGAGTGGCGAGGGGCTGGAGGGGTTGATCAGAGCGGGCGTGGCGGAGGGGCAGCTGGTTGGCAGCATGGGCATGGTGCGGCGCCTTATGGGGGGCGGAGCGGCGGGGGGAGGAGCAGCAGGGGCGACTGGTGGTGCGGGGGCAGCAGCAGGTGGTGCGGCAGGTGGGGGTGCAGGTGGAGCAGGGGCAGCAGGAGCAGCAGGAGCGGGAGCGGGTGCGGGGGGCGTGGGGGATCTGGATGCGCTCATGCGAACGCTCATGGGGCCAGCCATGGCTGCAGCAGCGGCAGGGGGAGGAGGCCTGGGGGGACTGGGAGGGCTAGCTGGGTTGGGAGGGCTGGGAGGGTTGGGAGGAGGGGCGGTGCCTCCGCCTGGGGTGGCGCCAGAGGAGTTTTATGCGACGCAGCTGGGGCAGCTGAGGGACATGGGGTTTGGCAACGAGCAGGACAACATCGCTGCACTCAGGGCCACGGGGGGCAACGTGCAAGCAGCCATTGAGAGGTTGCTGGGCGGGTAAAGTGGGCTTGAAATCAATGGGCGGGTAATGTGTAGAGGATATTTTGCAACAGTATTGCACTAGTTTATGAGTCGGTGTGACTTTAATACAGCATATACAGCATACGGTACTGTATGTTTTTTGCTGTCTGGGACATGGTGCTGTAATATTCACACAGCAACAACCCTGTGATATGGCATGTGATGATAGATTAAAGTACCACCACCAGGTCCCAAAATTGGTTTAGGCCTATGCTTCCAAATCAGGGTACCAGGCCCTCCTTGAACAGACCCCTAGGGTAAAATTTTTTGTACCCTGTTTTCAGCAGGGTAAATTAACCACTAGACTGATTTGAGCAGGGTAGTTTTAGGCTAAGCCTGTTTTGATTACCGGCGACTTCACTATCGCGGTAAATTTTGTGGCGACTTCACTATCGGTTCCAGACGGAAAAGGAATACGGTACGCGTCGCGGGCCACGACGCGCGGTGCAATGGGAAGCAGCGCGACGCGTTGCGGGAGACTCCTGCAGAGGGGGGACGTTAAATGAATTCATGTCGGGAATTGCGTGTCGAAAAGCATGCTCTTTGTGGAAATCGTGTGTCGAAGAGGTGGGAGTGCTTCAATTTGTTTCTCGCTAACTCGCACTGTAACTACTGTTAGAATCTGGCAGCAGGAATGATGAACTAACAGCATGCAGGAGTACAAGTAGTAAACCCTAATTGGGTTGTACCCCATATGGGCTACCCCATTACAGCCTAGACAATATGCAGCATATATGTTTGACACACCCCCATAGGCAAAGTGGGGGAGAACAAGGGGTCACACGACCAGTCAAGAGACGCAAAGCAAGCTCAGGGTGGATCTCAACGTCACCACACATTCTGAGCGCAAGCAAAGGGCCGCAAGGCCAGTCCACATGCAGAGATATATATACCGTCATCGCCCGGATATAAGACATATATGTCTTATCTCGTACACGGGCAAAAATGCTTGAGTTATCTTGTAAACGGGATGGTTTAGGGTGTCTTATAAGTCTTATAAATGGAAACTTTTTAAACCACTTAAAAATATTTTCCGTACTTCTTGAAAAAGAGTTCCTCATAATGAGTGTGGATGTTGCGAGGGTGCCACTTCGGCATGTTAAATTGTTATATGTTGGTAGGCTGTAGTGGGGTAGCCAATATGGGGTACAACCCCAACTAGGGTTTGCTACTTGTACCCAACTGTTTCATTCAATGCATCATTCTCACGCTAGTATTCTGAAATGGTATTCAGAGCAGGTGGTCCCTAGGACCATCCGATCGTTTTTTTTAGGGCCCACCACCGCACGCTGCGGTTACCGCGTTACCCCCGCGCCCTACCCTCGTAGCGCCCTCGTTGCGCCCTAGCGCCCTCGTAGCGCCCTCGTTACGCCCTAGCGCCCTCGTAGCGCCCTTGTAGCGCCCTCGTGCGCCCTGCCGACCGGCGTCCTGCCAGCCCAGAGCCCCGCGCGCCTCCCCTGCTTTGCCCGTCGCGCCGCCCGCTCTGCCCCGCGCTGCCCGTCGCGCTGCCTCGCAGCCCCGCGCACCGCCCGCTGTGCCCCGAGCCGCCCGTCGATCTGCTGCGCAGCCCCGCGACCCGCCCGCCCTGCCCCGCGCTGCTCGTCGCTCGGCTCTGCAGCCCCGCGCGCCGCCCGCTCTGCCCCGCGCAGCCCGTCGAGCTGCCTTGCAGCCCCGCGCGCCGCCCGCTGTGCCCCGCGCCGTCCGTCGCGCTGCCCGCCCGCCCGCCGCGCTGCCCGCTTGCAGCGCCGCCTGCCCGCCGCGCTGCCCGCTTTCTGGCAGAGCCGCCCGTCCGCAGCGCTGCCCACTTGCAGCGCCGCCTGCTGCTCCCTGCCCGTGCGCAATTGCCCGCCCCTGCTGTGGTAGCTTGCGTTGCTCTGCCGTACTGTCGCTATGGCTTCCATCCGCGTGCTTTCGTTCGATGCTGAGGGCCGCCCTGTGCAGTTCACCACTTGGCTAGATGACCTGCAGCTGTTCCTCCTGAGCGATAGCAAGGAGCATGTGTCGCTCTATGATTACGCGTCTGGTGCTGCGCCTGCCCCTCCTACCACAGCAGAGCTTAGTGTTCGTTCCCACTGGCAGACTCGTGACGCAGCTGCTCGCCTAGCCATTCGCAGTCACCTGCCGTTAGCTGAGCTCGAGCATTTTGGCGACTGCAAAACCGCTAAGGCCCTGTACGACGCTGTCGTTGCCCGCTATTCCTCACCTGCCACAGCCGAGCTTAGCCGCCTTATGCTGCCTTACCTGTTCCCTGAGCTGTCCACCTTTGCTACAGTCGCCGATCTTATCACCCACCTTCGCACTAGTGACGCTCGCCTGCGTGCCGCCCTTCCCACCGAGTTCTGCGCTAAGAACCCCCCTCCACTGTACTGGACACTCCACTTCATAGTCACCCGTCTCCCTGACACCCTCAGCTCAGTGCGCGACTATTTCCTTGCTCGCTGTCCCACTGAGCTCACCGTTGCCCTCCTAGAGGAGAAACTGCTAGCAGCCGAGAAGAGCATTGTAGCTGTAGGTGCTGCTCGTGGCGCTCCTCGCACCCCCATCTTTGAGGGGTGTTCTCCCTCTCCCCTCGCTCCCTCCTACGCTACTGCTGCTGCTGTTGACTTCCTTGGTGCTGAGTCTGCTGGCGCTGCTTCTGCTCCTGGTGGGAGGCGCCGCACCGGCAAGGGCAAGGGGGGCAAGGGTGGCGGGGGTGGCGCTGGGGGGGGAGGAGGTGGGGGAGGTGGGGGGGGAGGCGGTGCTGGAGGGAGCGGTGGCGGGAGTGCTGGTGGGAGTGGGGTCGGCAGCGGAGGCGGGGGCGGCGGAGGGAGCGGTGGCGGTGGTGGCGGTGGCGGCGGTGGCGGTGGCGGCGGTGGCGGCGGCGGCGGTGGCGGTGGCGGCGGTGGCGGTCGGAGCGGAGGTGGTGGTGGCGGCGGAGGTCGGAGTGGAGGCACTGGCTCGGGCCAGAGCTCCCACCAGCAGCAGCGTCCCCAGACGACCCAGCAGCTTCGTGAGTGGCTTGCTCAGCGTGGGACGTCGGGGGGCAGTGGCCGCTGTTCCTATGTCATTCGCACAGGTGACCGCAAGGGACAGACGTGTGGGAGGTTCCACACCCCGTACCGCTGCTTCTTCCGCCTTGACGACGCTTGGCGTGAGGAGATCGGCGAGGATGTTGAGCGCCCCCGCTGGGCGGAGCTGATGAGGGCTGGTGTTGATATCTTTGCTCTTGACTATGATGCTATTATTGCTGCCATGTATGCATTGACTGTTAGTGCCGAGGGAGACTGTTACTTGTGTGTGCCGCCTGACCCAGGTATAGAGCCCGCTGCCCTAGGTACTAGTGAGTCTGCTCTCTCTGGTACGGTCCCCTCTGTGGCTGCTCCCTCCAGTACTGTCCCTGCTGCTTGTGAGTCTGCTCTCTCAGGTACAGCACCCACAGAGACTGCTCTCTCAGGTACTGCACCGGCTGAGGCCTGTCACACCTTCACCCTTGACTCAGGTGCTTCCCGCTGTTTCTTTCGTGACAGTACTGAGCTCACACCGCTTCCTGCACCGGTCCCAGTCTCCTTGGCTGACCCCTCGGGGGGCCCAGTCCTGGCACGGTCCACCACTGTGCTCCCGTGTCCGGCGGTTCCGTCTGGCTCGTTGTCGGGTTTCCACCTCCCCTCGTTCTCGACGAACCTGGTGAGCAACGCTGTCATCCAGGATCAGTGGGTTGACACCTTTACCCCTGGCGGACAGCGTGTGGCGATCCTCACGTGCTCCAGGACCGGCCGTCACCTGGCTACGTTTACCCGTCAGCCGGGGTCGAGTCTCTACACACTGACCACTGCGTCTCCTCAGGTCGCTGCTGTCGGTCAGGTGTCCGCGTCAGGTCTGGTAGCCCACGCCTGTGAGTGTCGTTCCCTGTCGCACCAGACTCTTCTCTGGCACCACCGCCTGGGTCACCCCTCCTTGCCACGCCTCCATGGCATGCACCGTCGCCACCTTGTGTCTGGTCTTCCCAGGTCCCTCCCTCCCCTCCCTGCCTCGCCTGCGCCACCTTGCCTTCCTTGCGTCGAGGGGCGGCAGCGCGCCGCTCCTCACTCCTCCTCGTTCCCCCCGACAGAGGCTCCTCTGCAGACCCTCCACCTGGACGTGTGGGGCCCCGCCCGCGTTCGTGGCCAGGGCGGTGAGCGGTACTTTTTGCTGGTTGTCGACGACTACTCGCGTTACACCACGGTCTTCCCCTTGCGCACCAAGGGTGAGGTCCCTGCTGTTCTGATCCCTTGGATCCGCACAGTTCGTCTCCAGCTCCGCCGCCGTTTCCGGACGGATCTTCCTGTCCTGCGTCTGCACTCTGACAGAGGTGGTGAGTTCTCCTCCGACCTCTTGAGGACCTTCTGTCAGGCGGAGGGCATCGAGCAGACCTTCACGCTTCCGGACTCCCCACAGCAGAATAGGGTTGCTGAGCGCCGCATTGGCCTGGTCATGGAGGTCGCTCGTACCTCCTTGGTCCATGCGGCGGCTCCCCATTTTCTGTGGCCGTTTGCGGTCCGGTACGCCGCGCATCAGCTCAACCTCTGGCCCCGTGTCTCCTTGCCGGAGACCTCGCCCACACTGCGTTGGACGGGGGAGGTTGGCGATGCGTCGCGCTTCCGGGTGTGGGGTGCTCGTGCCCTTGTCTGCGATACGTCCGCGGACAAGCTCTCCTCCCGCACGCTTCCCTGTGTCTTCCTTGGCTTTGTCCCTGACGCGCCTGGCTGGCAGTTTTACCACCCCACCTCGTGCCGGGTCTTCGCCTCTCAGGACATCACCTTTGACGAGTCGGTCCCTTTTTACCGTCTCTTCCCCTACCGCACTGCCCCCCTCCCTCCCCCGCCGCTTTTCCTCGCTCCTGGTCCCCCTCCGGTAGACCCCCTTCCCCCTCAGGGTCCTGCTCCTTCAGGTGTCTCTCAGGTAGACCCTCCTCCCGTCGCTGAGCCTGTCGAGGTCACAGGTGACTCAGGTGCTGCTGCAGGTGGTGCTGCTGGGAGTGCTGAGCCTGGGGGTGCTGAGCCTGGGGGTGCTGGGGCTGCGGGTGCTGGGACTGAGGGTGCTGGAGCTGAGGGTACGGTGCCTGAGCGTACGGAGCCTGGGGGTGCTGAGCCTGGGGGTGCTGCGACTGGGGGTGCTGAGCCTGCGTGTACGGAGCCTGGGTGTGCTGAGTCGGGGGTGCTGAGCCTGGGGGTACTGCGCCTGGGGGCACTGAGCCTGGGGGTGCTGCGACTGAGCCTACGGAGCCTGGGGTTGCTGCGTCTGGGGGTGCTCCGGTTCGGGGTGCTGAGCCGTCTCTCCGGGAGCCTCTCACACAGCAGCAGCTTCGTGACTGGTACGTCTAGCGCTTTCGCCTTCGTCGTGGTCCTGCTGGAGTTGGAGGTTCTGGAGCTGCTCGTCCTGGAGGTGCTCGTACTGGGGGTACTGGAGCTGCCGGGGCTGGGAGCACTGAGGCTGGAGCTGCTGGAGCTGGGGCCTCTGGAGCTGGCGGTACTAGCGGAGTTGGAGCTGCCGGCTCTGGGGGTGCTCTTCCTGGAGGTGCTGGAGCTGCTGGAGCTGACGACACTGGAGCTGACGGTCCTGGAGGTGTTGGTCCTGCTGGTTCTGGAGGTGCTGGCGAGGGGAGGTCTGCCGCTGCTGGGGCCTCTGGTGCTGACGTCGCCGGCTCTGGGGGTGCTGCGGCGGGGGGTGCTGGTACTGGTGCTTCTGGTGCTGCGGGTGCTGGAGGTGCTGGCGGAGCTCCGCCGTCGCGACTGTTCTTCGCTCCACCGTCGCCGTCGGCTTTGCCACCGCCTGACACGGTGCTTCGCCAGGTTCTTTCCCTCCCGTCTTCCACTGGCCTTCCCCTCCAGCCTGGCTCCCCCCTCCCTGCTCCTGTGCCTTATACTGCACAGCCGGACTCGCTTACGGAGCGTCGTGAGCCTGTGTCTCGTCCTGCCTCGCCTGTTCGCGCTGCTCGCACTGCGCGCACTGGTCCCACTGGTCGTCGTGTCGCGCGTCCGCGTCCTCCTCCTGTTCCTGGCACGCACATTATGGCCCTTCGTCCTTCCACTGGTCCACAGCGTGTCCCCCTACCGTCTCCTCCTGCGTCTTCTCTTCCTGACGTTCCCGACCCTGAGTCTGACAGTGTTCGTGCTGCCCACCCTACTGTTACGCGTCTTCTCGCCACTGTTGTCACTGACCCGTCTTTTGAGTCTGCTGCTGCGTCTGCCCTGGTCGCTGAGCTTGTCGACTTTGCTGCTGCCTGTCGTCTAGACTACGCCGCCAGTCTTGTTGCTGAGTCTGCGTCTGTCTGTCCTCCGTCCGTCGGGGGTGAGTGTGCTCTTGGCACGGACGTCCTTGAGGACAGGCAGGAGGACTTTGACTCTCTTGCGGCTGCTGTACCTCATCTCGTGGCCTGGTTGCTTGCCCCTGAGGGAGACCCGGATGCACTAGACATCCCCACTCCGCGCTCTTACGCAGAGGCGATCTCGGGTCCCTACTCCTCTCAGTGGCAGACAGCCATGGACGCAGAGATGGCATCCTGGAAGTCCACAGGCACCTACGTCGACGAGGTTCCCCCTCCTGGGGCGAACATCGTCGATGGCATGTGGATTTTCAGGGTGAAGCGGCCGCCAGGTTCTCCACCTGTCTTCAAGGCTCGTTACGTTGCTAGAGGCTTCAGTCAGCGTCAGGGGGTTGACTTCTTCCAGACCTTCTCCCCCACCCCGAAGATGACCACTCTTCGGGTTCTGTTGCACGTTGCTGCTCAGCGTGACTAGGAGCTTCACTCTCTTGACTTCAGCACAGCGTTCTTGCAGGGCAGCCTGCACGAGGAGATCTGGCTGCGCCGCCCACCTGGCTTTACTGGGTCGTTTCCTCCTGGTACCCAGTGGAGCCTCCGGCGGCCAGTCTACGGTCTCCGCCAGGCGCCACGCGAGTGGCACGACACACTGAGGACTACACTTGTGGCTCTTGGGTTTGCTCCTTCCACTGCTGACCCGTCACTGTTCCTGCGCACAGACACGTCGCTGCCGCCGTTCTACATCCTCGTGTACGTCGACGACTTGGTCTTTGCTACTGCTGACACTGAGGCACTCGCTCGTGTGAAGTCGGAGCTGCAGAAGAGACAGGACCTGCACTGACCTGGGTGAACTGCGTAGCTACCTTGGCTTGCAGATCACCCGGGACAGAGCACGCCGCACCATTACCCTGACTCAGTCACACATGGTGCAGCAGGTCCTTCAGCGCTTCGGCTTCCAGTTCTCCTCACCACAGGCCACACCTCTGGCTACCAGCCACTCGCTCTCAGCTCCACCTTCGGACGAGTCCGTAGAGCCGAGTGGCCCGTATCCAGAGCTTGTAGGCTGCCTCATGTACCTGATGACTTGCACGCGACCTGACCTCGCGTACCCTCTTAGCATCCTTGCTCGTTACGTTGCGCCTGGGAGACACAGGCGAGAGCACTGGGAGGCTGCTAAGAGGGTGCTGCGTTACTTGTGCAGTACATCAGGCATGGGGCTGGTGCTTGGAGGACGCGACAGAGTTGTTCTCACTGGTCACTCGGACGCTTCTTGGGTGGACGACCTGGCTACACAGCGGTCGTCTGTGGGTTACACCTTCAGCCTTGGCTCTGGTTCTGTTTCGTGGCGGTCCACCCGCTCTTCTTCTGTTCTCAGCTCCAGTTGTGAGGCTGAGATCTACGCCACGGCCATGGCTGCACAGGAGTTACGCTGGCTCACCTACCTGCTGACTTACTTGGGAGAGCGGCCTAGTTCTCCTCCAGTTCTGTACGGCGACAACAAGGCGGCCCTTGCCTTGTGTCAGGAGCACAGACTGGAGCACAGGACGAAGCACATTGCTCTTCGCTACTTTCTTGCTCGAGAGCTGCAGCAGTGTGGTCAGCTTCGGCTTGTGTACGTGGACTCAAAGGCCAACACTGCTGATATCTTCACCAAGGCGCTCCCGCCTAGTGATCATCAGTGGCACTGTACTTCTTGAGGCCTTGTGTCCACATTCCCTCATTTGCTTACTGCTTGACTTTCTTTGTACTGTACTTTATATATATCTTGTTGCTTGCTTGCTAGGTTTTGATCACTGTGTTGCTTGTCTTGTACTATATCTAGCACTGCATGTGAACTGGCCTTGTGGCCTTTGCTTGTGCTCGGAGTGTGGTGACGTTGTGATCCACCCTGGGCTTGCATTGCTTTGCTGGACTGGTCTTGTGACCCCTTGTTCTCCCCCACTTTGCCTATGGGGGTGTGTTAAATTGTTATATGTTGGTAGGCTGTAGTGGGGTAGCCAATATGGGGTACAACCCCAACTAGGGTTTGCTACTTGTACCCAACTGTTTCATTCAATGCATCATTCTCACGCTAGTATTCTGAAACGGCAACCACTGCCCAGGACGCCACGTCATGGAGAACACCTGCAGAGGCAAATTAGGTAGGTCCTGGGTCAGCGCGTGGAGAAATTCGCGCTTCGCAAGGGTAAAAATGTACGCGTTATTTCAACTTTCGCTATAATATATTGAAGTTTCGATTATAAGACATATATGTCTTATCTCGTACACACAAATAGGTGTCTTATAATGAGGCTAGCCTGTTTATAAGAGACACCCGTATAGTAGACAACCCCTGTCTACTATTCAACACTGTCTTATATCCGGGCGTTTACGGTAAGCTACAAGAGAAGTACAGTGATCAATACCTAGCAAGAGCAAGCATGCAGGTATAAATATAGAGCACAGTACGCGTCGACCGGTACGACTAGGACCAACAGGCGAGACAGGACGCGATGCAGGCTCACGACGCTCAGCAAGACTACCGGTTTGCTCAGTGTAAGGAGAAGGAGCAGGCAGCGGTGAGCCAGGCTGTAACGGAAGACCAGTAGACGACGGGAGAGTAAGAACCTGACGAAGAACAGAGTCAGGCGGCGGCAGAGACGACGGAGACGGCGGAGCGAAGAACAGTCGTGTCGGCGCAGCTGCACCAGTACCGGCAGCTCCAGCAGCTCCAGCACCTCCAGCAGCTCCAGCACCAGCAGCTCCAGAAGCTCCAGCCCCAGAACCGACACCTCCAGGCCCAGGGTCTCCAGCCTCAATGTCTCCAGCAGCAGCACCCCCAGAACCAGCACCTCCAGTCCCAGGGTCTCCAGCCTCGGTGTCTCCAGCAGCAGCACCTCCAGACGCAGCACCCCCAGCCCCAGCAGCTCCAGTACCTCCAGTACGAGCACCTCCGGGACCAGCGACTCCAGCACCTCCAGCAGACAAAGTACCAGCACCACTCCTAGCTCCAGGGACGTCAGCAGAAGTACCTCCAGCAGCAGAGCCCCGGGCTCCAGCAGCGCGACCCTGACGGCGACCGTACCAGTCGTGCAGCTGCTGCGAGGTGAGAGGCACACGTGGACGAAGGCAGCTACTCCAAGGAGACCGCGCAACAGCAGACTCAGAACCCTCAGCACCAGCACTCCAAACTGCTCCAGAACCTCCTGCGCCAGCACCCTCAGCACCAGTACCTCCAGCAGCTCCAGAACCTCCAGCGCCAGCACCCTCAGCAGCTCCAGAACCTCCAGCTCCAGCGCTACCAAGACGAGGCCCTCGAGCAGCTCCAGAACCTCCGGCGCCAGCACCCTCAGCAGCTCCAGAACCCCAAGTGTCAGTACCCTCAGCAGCTCCAGAACCTCCAGCAGCGCGGCCCTGACGGCCAAGGTACCACTCAACCAGCTGCAGGGAGGAGAGGGGGAGTGGACGACGAGAGGGCAGCGGCGAGGCACCAGCGGAGCGACTACGGAGACGGCCGCTCCAGGGAGACAGCTCACCAGACGCCTCAGCAACCCCAGGTGCAGCACCCCCAGACTCAGTACTGCCAAGCTCAGCACCTCCAGGCCCCACACCCTCAAGCTCCGCACCCCCAGGCTCAGTACCCCCAGGCTCAGCACCCCCAGGCTCAGCACCCCCAGAAGTAGCACCCCGAGCAGGACCTGAGTCACCAGTGACCTCAACCGGCGCAGTCAAGGGAGGAGGGTCTACCTGAGACACACCTGAAGGAGCAGGACCGGGAGCGGGGAGGGGGTCTACCTGGGGAGCACCTGGAGCGAGGAAGAGCGGCGGGGGGGGGAGCGGGGCAGTGCGGTAGGGGAAGAGACGGTAAAAGGGAACTGACTCGTCGAACGTGACGTCCTGAGACGCAAAGACACGGCGCGAGGTGGGGTGGTAAAACTGCCAACCAGGCGCGTCAGGGACAAAGCCAAGGAAGACACAGGGGACAGCGCGGGCGGAGAGCTTGTCCGCAGTGGTATCGCGGACAAAGGCACGAGCACCCCAGACCCGGAAACGCGACGCATCGCCCACCTTCCCCGTCCACAGCAGTGTGGGCGAGGTCTCCGGCAAGGAGACACGGGGCCAGAGGTTGAGCTGATGCGCGGCGTACCGGACCGCAAACGGCCACAGAATATGGGGGGCAGCCGCATGGATCATGGAGGTACGAGCGACCTCCATGACTAAGCCAATGCGGCGCTCAGCAACCCCATTCTGCTGCGGAGAGGCCGGAAGCGTGAACGACTGGGTGATGCCGTGCTCCGCACAGTAGGCTGCCAAGAGGTCTGAGGTGAACTCACCGCCTCTGTCAGAGTGCAGACGCAGGACAGAAAAGTCCCGCTGGAACCGCTCGCGGAGCTGGAGACGAACAGCGCGGATCCAAGGGATCAAAACATCAGGGACGTCCCCCTTGCTGCGCAAGGGGAAGACCGTGGTGTAACGCGTGTAGTCGTCGACGACCAGCAGGAAGTACCGCTCGTGGCCCTGTCCACGGACGCGGGCTGGGCCCCACACGTCCAGGTGGAGAGTCTGCAGAGGAGCCTCTGTGGGAGGGAACGAGGAGGAGTGAGGAGCGGCGCGCTGCCGTCCCTCGACGCAAGGAATGCAGGGCGGCGCAGGCGAGGGAGGTAGGGCAGGCAGAGACCTGGGAAGACCAGAAACCAGGGAGCGAGAGTGCATGCTACGAAGGCGAGGCAGGGAGGGGTGATTAAGGCGGTGGTGCCACAGGAGAGTGTCGTGTGACAAAGCGCGACACTCGCAAGGGGCCGCCAGCTGACCAGACACAGACGCAGACGCAGCTACCTGACGGGACTCAGTGGTGAGTGTGTACAGACTCGAGCCAGGCGCACGGGTAAATGTGGCCAGGTGTCGGCCCGTCCGAGCACACGTACAGTGAGTCACTTGCTGACTCGCAGGAGTGAACTGGTGAACCCCCCCATCCTGGAGGTCAGCTCCACTCACCAAGTTTGTAGAGAACGAGGGGAGGTAAAGACCTGACAGCGAGCCAGACGGGGCGGCCGGACACGGCAGAGACGTGGAGTAGTGGGCAAGGACAGGACCCCCAGAGGGGTCCGCCAGGGAGACTGCAACTGGCCGACTAAGCGGCGTGAGTGTGGTGCAGTCGCAAAAGAAGGAGCGGGAAGCTCCTGAGTCAAGGGTGAAGGTGTGCAAGACCGCAGCAGGCGCAGTACCAGAGAGAGCAGACTCACCAGCACCTGGAGCCGCAGCCTCACCAGCACCGAGAGCAGGAGACGTACTAGCACCTAGAGCAGCAGCCTCACCAGTACCTAGAGCAGGAGACGCACTAGCACCTAGAGCAGCAGCCTCACCAGCACCGAGAGCAGCAGGCTCTATACCAGGGTCAGGCGGTACGCACAGGTAACAGGCACGGTCAGCACTAGTAGGCAATGCATACATGGCAGTGAGAATAGCATCATAGTCAGGAGCAAAGATATCTACCCTCTGTCCAAGCAGCTCCAGCCAGTCGGGGAGCTCAGCCTCGTCGCCAAACACGGTACGCCAGGCGTCGCTCAGACGGGCGAAGCAGCGGGACTGTGTGTGACCAAGCGTCCCGCAAGGCTGACCAACCCGATCACCTGTGCGAATGACGTACGGGCAGCGAACTGTACGCGTAGACCGGCTATACTGAGCGTACCACTCGTGGAGCTGCCGGGACGTAAGTGTCTCGCGTGGACGCCGCTGCAGCTGCAGCTGGCCACTGCCAGACGCTCCCAACTGACCAGCTCCAGGGGGACAGCTACGACGGCTACCGCGACAACCCCAGCTAGTATACCACTCACTAAGCTGCTGGGGCGTGAGAGACTCACGTGAACGTCGCTGGAGCTGCATCTGGCCACCTGCCAGTAGCAGTAGCAGCAGCAGTAGCGCGGGCAGGGCAGGCGCGGCAGGCCGACAGGCAGGCAGGCCGGCAGGCAGACAGGCAGGCAGGCAGGCAGGCAGGCCGACAGGCAGGCCGGCAGGCAGGCAGGCAGGCGCTCACCAAAGGCTGGAAGAGCAGGCGCTCGCCGGGCGAGCAGGGCCGGCGCTCGACGGGCGGCGGCCGAGTAGGCGCACGACAGCGGCGACGTCGGGGCCGCAACACCGGCGGCAGTGTAGGGCCGAAGCAGCTGCAGGGCGGGGCCGCTTCAGCGGCAGTTGAAGGGGGGGGGCCGCGTCAGCGGCAGGTCGGGGCCGTGGCAGCTGCAGGGCGGGGCCGCATCAGCGGCAGGTCGGGGCCGTGGCAGCTGCAGGGCGGGGCCGCATCAGCGGCAGGTCGGGGCCGAGGCAGAGGGACGCGCGCGGCTCGGCGCGGGCTGCGCTGACAGCGCGCTGGGCTGCTGCAGGCCGCGCGCGGCCGCGCTAGGCAGTAGCGGGCCGCGCGCGGCTCGGCGCGGGCTGCTGCGGGCCGCGCGAGGCAGTAGCAGGCCGCGCGCGGCTCGGCGCGGGCTGCTGCGGGCCGCGCGCGGGCCTCGCGAGGCAGGAGCAGGTCGCGCGCGGCTCGATGCGGGTTGCGTGGGCTCGGCGCGGGCTGCGCGCGGCAGCAGCGGGCTGCGCGCGGCTCGGTGCGGGCTGCGCGCGGCTGCAGCGGGCTGCGCGCGGCTCGGTGCGGGCTGCGCGCGGCTCGGTGCGGGCTGCGCGGGCTCGGTGCGGGCAGCGCGCGGCAGCAGCGGGCTGCGCGCGGCTCGGTGCGGGCTGCGCGGGCCTGAAGGGCGTGTAGGGGCGGCGCGCGGGCCTTACGGGCCTCTAGGGGCAGCGCGCTGGCCTAGGGCAGCAGGAGGCAGCGCTAGGGCTGCTGGACGGCTCGCGTAGTGCAGCACGTCACAAGGCAAGGCAAGGCAGGCAGGTACGTGGGGTAGCGCGGTAACTGCAGCGGTAGGTGGGCCCGAAAAAAACGGTCCTACGGACCTACTGCTCTGAAACCATGTTAGAATCTGGCAGAAGGAATAATGAACTAACAGCATGCAGGAGTACAAGTAGTAAACCCTAATTGGGTTGTACCCCATATGGGCTACCCCACTACAGCCTAGACAATATGCAGCATATATGTTTGACAACTACTTCCCCGTTACCACAGGTTCCGTCCTCGTCCCGCAGTGCTTGATTGAGGTCTAAATCAAGTGGCAGCGATGCACGAAAAGTGTCAGGTTTCTCGTTCCGTCAGCATACTCCGTAGGGCCATCTCTCACGCTATCTTCCTCTCTCCTCTCGCCCCGTGTGCGCCCCCGCAGTGCGGTGTTTGTGGGGTGTGGTAAATTTTGACACCACACGGATTGTGGTCTGATTCGCGTTAGGAAAGTTTCGGTAAAAGGGTAGTGTACACCATACCCTGATTCCGTCAGGCTAACCTAAAAACCAATCAGGGTGAAATAAAACATGCTCTTTTAAGAGAAGGGTAACTATCTCGCATTCCTGATTTTGGCAGGGTAATCCTGAAAAAACGGCCGACCCCCAGGGTAATCAGGGCGTTTTACCCTGATATTTTGGGCCCTGACCACCACCGAAGAACAAGGGTGCTCTGGCAGGCAATGGTTGTACCAGTGCTGCAGGTCCACCAATGCCCTCCCGTCCACATCCATAAATTCTGTAAACGAGTACAGTAGTACCGTATGTTATCCACACTACCCACAGAAGCTGGGCAAGGAGCGGAACATTGCCGGGATCCGCCATATCAAGTATACCAGAAAATTTGAAGCTTCAATAGCTATCCATGCGCGCAAACCCTTTATGAGCCACAACGCAACTCTCCTTGAGACAGTGAAAGATCTGCTTCACCACATTGTTTGTGTTGTGTCAAATTAAGAGTCTTGAATATCTCCCCAATCCATTTTCATATGGGCACTACTTATTCTGAGCACCATAGATCACCGCAAGCTCCTCCTCCAGTTGGCTACAATCCAGTGAAGCTCGTTGAACTGCTGCATCTAGCTGCCTGGCTACTCTCTCCTCTCTTCCACCCATCAGCTCCCTGCGCAGAGCCTCAAGCTCAACTAGCACCTGGCTCATAGTGGGTCGATTTGACACGAGCTTCGCGACACATGAGAGAGAAGTGTCAACTAGCTTGGAGGCCACGGCATGCGGTGCATTGAAATCCACGTTGACCACCGACGCACTGTCCCCTCCCTCCACCTGCTGCTCCACCTGTCAATATTAGATGGAAGAGCCAGGGGGGGGGTGAGAGAAGGTGTTGGAAGGATGGGAATGGACAGGGAAGGGGAAGGGGGAGCAGGACAAGGAGGAAAGTGAGGGGGGTAGGAAGAAAGAAGTGAGACGGAGAGAGTGAGAGGGGAGGGTGTGTTGAAGGGTTTCCATGAAACAAACAACTGCGGTGTGAATGAACAATTTTCTTCACACAGAAAGTCAGGGAAGGGAGAATGATAGTTGTAAGAAAGAAGAATTAGCAGCGTACCCAGTCCTTGATGTGGATGTGTGATCCATCTTCACATGGCAGCACAACACGCTTGCAGGTGAGCAGCTCCATCATCACCACTCCAAAGCTGGGGCGAGCAGTGTGGGCGAGAGGGACGGGGGAGTGAGCAGAGGGACGAAGGGAGGAGGGAAGAGAGTGAGAGAGCAAGAGCGAGAGAGAGCAAAAGGGAGCGAGAGAGAGAGCGTAGAAAGAGAGAGAGTAGAGAGAGAGAGAGAGAGAGAGAGAGAGAGAGAGAGAGAGAGAGAGAGAGAGAGAGAGAGAGAGAGAGAGGGAGGATACCTTAGCCCTCTGCCCTCTGCTCTCCCCTCTGCCCTCTGCTCTCCCGGCCTATTTAAGGGCTGTTTGGCCTTGTCTCCCCTCATTATTTTCGTAGTGGTTCAGTTTCGGCGGCTCGCGCCGGCGGCCTTCGGCCGCGCATTTCGGGTGGCAAACAGTCAATCAAGATCACGACTCTAAGGATCACACACACAACAACAAGCAAGCGAGAACAAGAGCTACGGGAGGCAACATGCAGTTCTACACGCGGCGACGCGCTACTGCGTGTACAGGCCAGCCCCCTCCGCCTCAAGCAATGAGAGAAGACACCCCGCCATCGCGTGGAGGAGCTCCGCCGAGAAGCGAAGCGTGTCAACTGGGGTCCCGCTCTGAGCTGCCGCGTGAAGATCAAGGGCGAGGCGGGGGAAGGTACGGGCTAAGGGCGCTACCCCGGCGGGCGCTTCCGACACGGGCGATAAAAGGGGGAGAATCGCTGCTGCCCAAGAGACGCACTGTCCTTGCGGCACTTGAGCAAAACTGCTCGGTGTGTGACGCATGGCCTCACACGCCGCCAGCTGCAAGCTCGCCACCCCCTCCGCCAAGTTCCACATCCGGCACATGCTCAGCGTGGGGTCTCTCCCCGCGCGGGTGGGGAGAGGTGCAGTCGGAATTCCGCGCGGCGGAAACATCGCCACCTGGTCCGCAGCCTGTCCAAGATAACCCGGTGGAGCGGGGTAGCCAGGGGCCTGGCGGCGCCCGCGGAACGGTCCCCTCGCCGCTGCTGCTGGCAGGTACTCGCGCAAAGTCGGCGCGCGCAACGGAGCCGCTTCAGCCGCAGCGGCGCTGGTGGGGGGCTCAACGGTCACAGACACATGGATGTGAGCCGCTTCCCCCCCCGCTTGAGCCTGCCGCACTGCCTCCGCCACCATATTCGCAGCGCGGTCAGCCGCGGAGCCCCGAGCGCGGTTTCCCCCGCCACGCGGAGAAGCATTCTGCCGTCCACGACGACCACCAGACCCCGGCGACTGACGACGCGACGGAGAGGGCTCCCTCCGGCGAGAATCCCATTGCCCAGCGTAAGCTCCGCGGCCCCGGTGTGGCGGCGACGGTCGAGGCGAGCGGTGATGAGGAGACCGTTGCCGCGGGGAGTGCCTTCCCGGTGACCTCTGAGGAGAGCGGTAGCGGCGGTCGCGGCGCTGAAGGTCGCGCTGGTACTCCTCCCACCACCGGCGCGAATCGAGCGGCCCAGGGGATTGACCCACAGGGGACGCGGGGCGAGACTGGTGGCGCTGCGGAGACCGACCCCGAACCTGACGCGCTAGCTCGGCATTCGATGCAACAACGGCGGGGGCGCACGATTGCTCAGGAGATGCAGGACGGTCTGCCACACGCAGTGGAAGAGACACCCCGCGCACGAGCCGACGCATGGGCTCGGACGCGGCTGGACGAGCCGGGGCCAGGGGACGCGGAGGCGCACGCTCCGGATCTGGCGCCACAACGAGTTGAGCGCACTCCGCAGTTGCCTCCAAGGCGCGGTCGCGACCCACGGACCCCGCCATCACGACCGAGGCGTGAACCGAGGACGCCAGAGCCTCGGCCGGTGGGGGACGTAGTTGGCGAAAATCGAACGCCAACGAACCGCGGCAGGGCCACGCCGCGAGGGACGCCTGTCGGCAGGCGCGCAAGGGGGGGAGGAAGGCGAGGAGGAAGAGCCCACCAACGAGGCGGTCTTCGAAGCGGTGCAAGCGGATATGCGAGAACGGCAGAGAGACTTCTTTGAGCAAGCGTGAGAGACGGAGACGAGGCGGCTAGTGAGGGAGGAGACGGTGACTCTGGGAATGGCGAGAGTGTCGGGGGTGACCCCGGTTTTATCCCTGAATCGGAGGGGATTTCAGGTCTAGAAGCTGAGGAGGAAGTGGAGCTATTGCAACACGGGGCGGAATTTCCCACCCACGAAATCGGAGTCGCGTCTGCAACGCGTACACCTGCAAGAAATTGGACCGCGGGGGGAAATCGAGCCGCAGGAGGAAACCGGACCGCGGAGGGAAATTGGACTCGGAGGGGAAATCGAGCCGCGCCTGCAAGTACACCCAACCCTGGCGCAACCACAGGGAACCCTGCAGCCCAAACCCCCGCCCCACCAATGATAAATGCGGCAGACCTGGCGAAAAGACTGGACCTCTTCGCTCAGGTCGCGGACTGGGACCTCCAGCCCCTTCGCGACAGTCGTCAGCCACCCCTCGCCAGACACCCGCCTAAAGACCTTCGCGAATCATTCGCTGCCTGCCTCCTGACGCCACTCCTCCACTGGCAGCCAATCCCAACTCAGTCCCACGGTGGAAGTTACTGATGTTCCTCCCGCGAATTCTCCTTCGCACCTCGTCAGCCCACAAACCTGACTGGTGCGCGATGATGAACAGACTCCTCCGTTTTCGCCGGGGTTTTTGGACCGGCCTGTACAACGAAGCGGTAGAAGCAATCTCCCTCCCACCCCAACCCCGCCACGCACCTGACACGCAAGGCATTCTCGCCAGAGCAGAAGGACTAGCTAAGCGAGGAAACCTCGCCAAATCACTCCAGTCGCTCCAAGCCACCCCCGTCTCACCTGCCTCCCCCGAGGTGCTCGCGGCCCTAGCAGCTCGGCACCCACACGCACTCCTCCCCCTACCTAGGTGGGTGCGAGACTTCTCCCCCGCGAACACACCAGCAATTGAGCCTCGCGATTTCCGCCGCATCATCGCCAAGCTTCCGAACGGAGTTGGGGCCGGGCCCTCGGGTACCACCTTTGAGCACATCCGAGATGCCGCGCTTGGAAACCCCGACATCTTCACTCACCTCTTGGCGCTCACCAACACAGCGCTTGCAGGGAAGCTAAGCGCAGAGGCCGCGGATCTCCTTACTGCGTCGCGCCTCCTAGCATTTACTAAGCCCCAGGGAGGAACTCGGCCGATAGCAGTCGGCGAATGCCTCCTGAGCATAGTCGCGAAAGCTGCCCTGTTCCTAACAGCCGCTTCCGCACGTGCGCACTTCGCGCCCCTTCAATGTGGAGTAGCAGTGGCCGCAGGCATTGAAGCGGCCATCCACACTGCACGTACCTACCTGGAGGCGAACGAAGGCTCTGTGGCGCTGCAGATCGACCTCGCCAACGCTTTCAATGCGGTAGAAAGGGCGGCGGTGTTCGAGGATCTGAAAAACGACGCTCTAGGAAGCCTAGTGCCCCTCGTCCGCCTCTCTTATGGGGCTCCCTCTGCCCTGCACCTCGATCACGACTTCGGTGTGGCGCCAATCCAAAGTGCCAGAGGCGTGCGCCAGGGAGACCCCCTTGGCCCCTTACTCTTCGCGGCAAGCATCCACCCCTGCTTAGTCGCCACCGCAGCAGCCCACCCCCAAGTCGTGATCCTTGCCTACGCGGACGACATCACCCTTCTGGGCGATGCGGCGGCTTTCTCGGATGCCTTCACCCACCTCACCACGACGCTGAAACACTTGGGCCTCGAGCACAACCTCGCGAAGTGCGAGGCGTGGTCCAAAGCCGCAGTCGACCCCGCGTCCCTCCCGCCAAACATCTCCATCACGGCAGATGGGCTCCGGGTCCTTGGGAGTCCAATTGGCACCGTCGCGGGCTGCGCGGCGCGCGTGAGGGAGAGGCTGGAGGCGGCGGCGGAACCCCTGCCGCTCCTGTCCCAGATGGACCCCCAGCTGAGCCTGCTCCTACTCACTCGCTGTGTGAGCCGGCGAGCCTCATTCCTAGCCAGGACCACCCCTCTGTCGGCGTTACCAGAGGCTGAATGGTCGGCGTGGGGGGAACGGCTGCTACATACCTTCCTGGAAGCGGCGCACATCGTCTGCCCAAGGAGTGATGAGGAGAAGGGGCTGATATGGTGGCAAGCGGCGTTACCTGTCACCTTGGGAGGACTCGGCATCACTAACCCCGCCGTTGAGGGGAGCTACGCCTACCTGGCGTCGGTGGTAGGAACCTCCCACCTGCTTCGCTCCCTGACCGACACGCTGCACCCCCCGTGACCTCCCTCCTCCCCCTTTTTGACCCCGACCCCGGCTCTGCCCACGCCCTCCCAACGCGGCTTGCAGCAGCAGAAGCAGCTCTCCCTCCAGAGGCTCTGGAGGCCCTCCAGGCGGGGAAGACCAATCCCCATGGACTCAAGTTGCAGCAGTCCCTCGCGCTGACGGTCCACACACACCACTACCTGGGGGTCCTGGAGGAAGCAAGGCAGATGCGGCCTAACCCCCTCTCTGGCCACGCCCAGCGGGTGCAGTCAGCGCTCGGCCCAGGAGCAGGAGACTGGCTGCTAGCGCTGCCAATCATCCCGTCGCTGCGGATGGGACCCTCTCAACTCTCCTCTGCAGCAGCTTCCCGCCTAGGCCTCCCCCTCCCCGTGCCCAGGCGCTGTGACTGCCGGTACCGCACCACCTTCCCGGACGACCGCCTCCCCAACCACCTTATGCGCTGCGAGAAAGCGGGAGGGCGGATTGCAACTCACCATGCACTCCGGGACGAGATTGCCTTGATTGGAGCTGAGGCGGGCTTCACGGTGCACAAGGAGACTTATGTGTATTCTCTCGTTGAGAACCTAAAGGCGGACGTCACAATCCGCCATCCCCTGACGGGAGAAGTGTGGATGTGCGACGTGACGGTGACCGATCCAGTGTCCCACCAGGATCAGCATTGTAACCGAGCTCCTGGATGGGCGGCTAGGGCAGCGGCAGCTAAAAAGGAGGAGAAATATGCGCGACGAAACGCGTGGGTGGGTTTCCACGCCTTAGCAGTCGAAACCTATGGATACCCGTCCCCGG